TTTAATTTAAATTAATGAGAGCTTTTAATGCTATTTAATAGATTATTTGATTCACTCATATGTAAACAGTGTTTCTTAAGTCTTTCTTAAAATAATTCATCATTATCCTCATCATTACAACCGCAACTTTTTTTGTTATATATTATCGATTAATTTGCTTATCTATCTATCTATCTACCGATGTATATATATATATATATATATATATATATATATATATATATATATCAGACCAAGGGTAAACAATAAGAAAACTTTTGTTTCATGGGAGATAATAACAGATGTTAAATATTAACTAATGTTCAATATATTCTTTTGCCACTTTTCATTTTTATAAAGTGTTACCTTTATTATTACTATGAGTTAATATATGAATATATGTTAAAGTTTATGCTTGTGTGAATGTATGTTACTAGTTTATTTAAAAAAATGTAATTTGCTTTTTATGAGTTGTATTGTCATTGTTAGTAAATATAAATTATATATACATATATATGGAAATGAAAGAGAAAGGCGAATAGAACAAAGGTAAGGTAATTAGAATTTTTATCTGAACAATTAAGTTTAATAGTTGAATTTTTGAGTCAATTGAAGCTAGAACACTATGGAAAACCTAGAAGCACTAGACGGCCGTTTAGTCATAGTATGGCGTTCTTTAGCAGTGAGCATCCACGACCCCATTCCACGAGATTTGAACCCAGGACCTATCGGTCTCGGGCGTGAATACTTAACCTCTAGACTACTGGTGGACGGTAGCACAATTTCGTGGATTGATTGAAGTTAGATGTTAATATATATAGCCTTATTAGTACAGACAAATCAAATAACTCTTATGAGTATTGCATACTTATAGAAACCACATGATTTTTACATAAAATTTCACTATAGAAGTAGTTTCTACGAATATTTTAATATTTATTCCAGTATATTTCTTCATATGAATAAATCTAGAATGATTTAGTTATTTCTAACTTCGCGAGATTTGAACCCAGGAGCCATTAGCTTAAAAAAATCTTATTTTATCACTGGGAAAATTAGTATTTTGTAAAGAATTCTTAACATATTAAAAAGGAACTTATTAAACTCTACAATGTAATCTATTAAAAAAATAATTGGTTGTTCGCTTCATGTCCACGTGCCATATGGAACAGAATATTAATTACTTTAAAACTAAGTTGACTGATAAACAACTGCTGGAGATAAATTTTGAATATTAGTTAATCAAATTATTTGTATACTAAGGGGTTATTTCCTATTAACATATGTTCATATGAACGGTCTAGGTTGTGTGATTGGAAAACTAAATAATAAACACCGTTAAATGTGCATAAATCAGTCTAACAAAGTATAGGAATATGAAATACCATTTAAAATTAAGCATTGGTTATGAGATGGTGGAGAAGATTTGTAGCTCAGGTAAATGATTTTGATCAGCACAAACTGTGCTGATGATATCGTTCAGAAGAACGATGAAAGCTCCAAGACCAAACCATCCAGCTCAGAGGACAAAACTTCATCATAAACATTGGTTAATTATTAGATATTAGCATAATATTAAGAGAATTTTTAAACAATAATCTGTATTTAAAGTGATTTTTCACGCGTAAATTGTGAAAATATTAGCTTATGTTTGAACTGTTCTTGTTCTGCAAGATGATAATATGATGTAAAAATTCATCAATCCATTGCTAATAATTACCATGCCAGAATGAAACGGCTATCTATTGCTTCCAGACTTTCAATAATGGTCTAACATTGATCAATTCATAATCTCAATCAAAATAATCATTTTAAATATAATCGTATAGGTTTAGAAAATGATAGGATAGGAAAGAAAGTTTACTTCGCTGAATTGCTTATTTTTAAAAATTCTAATATATTTAATACATTTAACGAAAATAGTTTTGTTTAGAAAGAGTAGTTTATGTGAATTTGAACTTTGGAAGATGCATTTAATTGATTTTAGAGTAGCTTTATTAGAAATCGACTGAACCAAGATTATTTATTCGTGTTTATTAAAGCAAAACTAAAAGATACTTGTTAAAAATCTTGTACTAATTGAGAAATTTTCAAAGAACAACAAATCTTAGGTGATTAGAGTTAATTAGAATGAAGTTCGAAAGACACTGTTCCCCACAAGCTTAGAGATATATCTTGATGAGGACTGCTGCTTAGTATGTAACGTAGATCAAGGATTTTCTACTGATTATTTCCCACCGCATGACATCAAGAATTATGGTGTATGTGATGTCAAATCAATTGAACTAGTGACTATCTTGAACATTGTTCAAGGGAATTATTTTTAGCATTAAGGATTGGACAAAAGTGACTTTAGTTACTATGATTCAGTATGATTAGAAAACGTATCCTATTAGATAGATAAAAATAATAACCAGCTTTTGGAGTTAATAGAGATATTTCATATTGGTGTATATAATAGATAATCGTTATGTTTGTTTTAATTAGCTAATTATTCATCATTGTAACCAAAAAAAAAAGATATTTCAAATCAGATTTTGTTTTATTAATAAATTTAGGTTGGTGTGTATCTTAAATTATTTACTATTGAGGAGTGATATTATTATTTATTAACATATCCCCCTACAAGATAATATAATAAAATATAAGTTGACAATACTTAATATGGAGACCAAAGTTTTCAATCAATTGAATTTTTTTATTTTTGTAAAATTAATAAATGAATTGTTTTATTGAATTAGGATCTGTACAAAACATAATGTTATAAGTGATAGATTATAGCATGTGGATGTAGTTCAATTAACTTTAAAGTTTAATGATCATCATAAAGTTGACTTGTTAAAAATTTATTATTCACGTTTTTTTAGTTGTTAATACAGGCTTGGGTGCCTCCTTCACTTACTCTCAAATGCCCTGACACGGCTGAGGGTGGGGAGAAGCGTCTCTTCCTCTCCAAATGCTCTCACATGGCCACGCATATACAGGCACTGCCAGGAAAGTCCTATTTATGGTAGTCTCGTGGTGAGGATGTCGTTTACGAAATTGAGAGGACGAAGATTGAATGTCCAGTGCTTTAACCGGTTTGATGGACATGGAGAGTTCACCTATGGGAGTTGGAAAACCCTGATTCCGAACCATTGATGCATATGTGCTCCAGTATCCTAAGGGAACAAATGGTGTATGAACCAATTACTAGTCACCGGCTGTCATGGTACTGCATCTCCCAATGTTGCTCCACTGCCTTGTGGACCAGACCTTTAGGTCAGAGGCTCTGAGAGTGGAACCCTAGGAAAACCACCTGTTTCAGTCTGGGCACTCAAGCAGTGACTTGTGTGGTGCATATGTATTCAGTGACCCTTTGTACCAATATTTATATGTTCAAATAAATAGATAAAAATAAATAATACTGGTCATTCAGGTTCATTCTGTTAGTCACAAGTATGTAATCTTAAATTATGGTATGAATTAAATCAAATGATTAGTTTCATTTAATAGTAACTATTGTTTTGACTATTTGGAGCAAAATATGATAAAAAATTCCGATAGGAACGTTAAAAAAACAAGTAAATAAAGCCAATCAAACAATATTGTTTATTTATTATATATCTTCATCAGTCATCATAAAAAGATAATAAAGCTCTCGCATATTCTTTATAAATCCAGTGTTATAATATTAAGGGGTATTCTGGAACTACTACTCTAATTACAAATTAACTGTATTCTTCAAATACTATCATTCTTGGTTTATTTAAATTTGTAAAGGGAATCAAATCAATTAAAATGCAATTAAGTAGAATAATAAGAAATCTTAATTCACTTGGTAGTGTTTTACATGAATCCTCCCATTGATGTTTAGGACTGCAATTGATCAGTCTCTTATTGGCATATGTGCATACTGCGCGTATGCCTCGATATTGCCTTAATTTACAAGAATTATAAGCAAATATGGATAGTGGCTGGCAGTGGAATTCAGGACGCGCGTTTCGTCCTATTTGGGACTCGTCAGCTGGATGTACCTGCATCTCAGAGTTGACGTTCACTCCGGGACTCGAACCCAGTACCGTCCGCTTCAAACGTCATCACGTCATCCACTTAGCTACTGAGTCCTGATAGCTACTTGTTTGTGCAATGTGGTGAAGTTTAATTCACTTGATATTGTTTTACTTGAATCGCCCCACTGATATTGAGGACTGCAATCGATCAGTCTGAAGCGAACGTTACTGAGTTCGAGTTCCAAAGTGAACATCAACTCTGAAACGCAGGCAGATCGAGCTGACGAGTCCCAAATAGAACGAAACGTGCGTCTTTAATTCCACTGCTAGCCACTATCCATCTTTGTTCATAATAAGAAATCTGTTTAAAAAGTCAACATGGATATAGATACAATTTATTTTGAATATCGACTTTAGTATTGGAAAATGTTACTACTTTCATAATACAAATCATAATATATTTTTGTAAATAAAGAAACCGTTTAAAGATGTTAAGTTAAAAGTGTTTTAGCGAAAAATTTAACTTGCAAAAATGAAAAGTTACGTTGTGAAGAATTCGGTATTATTTTGTAAATAATTTTTAAGACAAAGGGAGATCAATAGCACAAGCATTGAGAATCATAAAGTTATTGACAAGTGTTAACTCAAGTCTTGAATCGTCTCAGTACTAAGGACTCAGAACTTTACATAGAGTAGTATCGAGGAATTTTAATCTAAAAGCTTACGTGATCCATGTAGAACAATGAACTAGAGTTTGTTGGTAAATACTTTCCAAGTTCAATTACTTTTAGGTGTAGAATGTATGTCATCCAATATCATTGGTGACTTACTATCTCACTGTAAACTTAATTAACTCCAAAAATTATGACTTTCCATTAGAACATTGAGAAATTATTTGAAAAAGATGCTTACTACTGAGAACATGATGGTTTAGTGACCTTTTTATAGACATTCAAAATACGATTTTATGAAATATTTAATTCGAAAAAATAAAAATAAAAACCTTCAAAGTTTTAGTAGATAACTCACTTGCATTGTTTTATCATACCAACGATTAGCCGCATTAAATGAACTACCCATTCCATGTAATAATTGTAAAGCTAATGAAACATCATCACGTTTATTTAAATTATTCGGATCATCTGTTTCATTTAAAAATCCATTAATATCTGTTGTTTCATCTAGTTCTTCAACTGCTTGAATTGGTTTGTCTAAACATAATACAAACATGCTTTTCGCAATGGTTTTTAAATTTCCTTCATTTTCTGGATCTAGACAGAAGAGAAATGGAGAAAAAGAAACAGGTGAACATAGAAGTGTAGAGTAGTAAAAATGACATGACATTGATCACTACTCAGTCCTATAGGATGCCAGACACTACCCGAATGGCTCAGTGCCAGCATACCAAACTCTGTACCTGTATGACATGATATAGAGCTCATTATGTAAAATTAGGTCCCTTAAGATTGTAAGTACACCTTGCTAACTAGCACCAGCTAACATCAAGACTAGGGTTCAGGCTTTCCAGTTGACTAACTCCAACCATTGAACATCGAAAGATAGTGCTTTCGATGTTGAGTCACTTAGATTAGTGATCACACTGAAGTTTACAGATTGAATTCAACTATAACTCAAATTGAAAAGAGCAAGAACAAACATTCTAGCAGAATAGCATGAATTCATTTTTATTTCGTTGGTTCTCGTCAGCTGCTTACAACCTGTGATATTTAAAATTATAATTACATAATGGGTTTAAATTACTTACATGAAAAAGTTTGATTGGAAGTTATATTGAAGGCATATTCGTATAGTATAGCGAGAGCGTAAATAAATTTAATAGACTGAGTATTCTGCTAGAATGTTTGTTCTTGCTCTTTTCAAAATGATAAAGGGAACTATGTGTATGAAGATATAACTCAAATATTTGTTTTTAGTCCTTATTAAGGATACCTACATAAGTAACTTAGATAATAGTAGTGTTCTATTCTAGGTAGTTGATATCTTTCAGTAGAAATTCTGACACTATAGATTTGTGCTGGTTCGCACTCGTTAGCTTTGATGAGGTAACTGGTGCTACCTCAGAGTTCCAAATAAAAGAAATATAACGCTTTAGTCAAAAGTATTCTCTCTAGACTATTTAATAGAGTTCAACCAATACTAAGAAACTGAACCATATAACATTGATTAATACACAGGATTTGACTGATGTTCATCGCATATGGATATGTCAGCTACTATACAAGGTCCTATTTTAAACTCATCATATTCAAGAAAAGTTTTTGTTGCGAAGTTAGTTTACCTACATCAATTAGTTATGCAACAGACTTAAGTGATAATTTTATTTTTATCAGAAGGGGTTTTGTGGAGATTGTAGCAATTTCGATGATTAAGATCATGAGTCAGTTGAAGCTAGACCACCATGGAAAACCTGGAAGCACTGAACGGCCGTTTCGTCCTATTAAGGGACTCCTCAGCAGTGCGCATCAACTGACTCATGATCTTAATGATTGAATTCACTACAATCTCCACAAAACCCCTTCTGATAAGAATCAACATATGCTCACTAGTGACTGGCTTCAAGAGGTATATCCTGGAGTTCTAGTGAGAAGTAGTGACCAGTGGAGTTCAACCAGGTCTGTTGTGGGATAGTAACTCACTGAAGACAATGGTGGATGTGTCGCTCAATTTCGTGGATTAGTTGAAGTTAGACATTAACACCATTGCATGCTAACTCAGTGGTCTAGTGGTTAAGTGCTCGCGCGCGAAACCAGTAGGTCCTGGGTTCGAATCTCGCAGGGGGCAAGGTCGTGGATGCGCACAGCTGAGGAGTCCCGTAATAGGACGAAACAGCCGTCCAGTGCTTTTAGGTTTTCCATGGTGGTCTAGCTTCAACTGACTCATGATCTTAATCATTGGAACAATTTTATTTCTCATGAAGATTGAGAGAATGTTCTATTTCCCTTTTAAATTATCACTAACTATATTCAGTTATATAACTACACAGTTTATGATGAACTTTGTAATTTGATGTTAGCTGTTGTAAGTGATTGACATCGATTGGAATACAACCAAAAAAGTAGACATAATTTTATTTGTGTTAGGGATTTGTCTGTATTTATTATACTAGTAGAACTCCATGTAAGTATTTTACACTATCTAACAGCATGATAAGCAATCTAATTGACTCTTAGTGAAATATATCTTAAAACATCATATTTACCAATCTTAAAAAATTATATACGGTATATGTCAACTGAATTTAAGAAAATAATCTTTGTATTTATTATTTAAACTACTAAATATTATGTAGCGTACCGCTTTGTCAGTAGTATAACTGGGTATATGTTTGAATATTTAAACTGTTATAGCAACTTAAACCGACTGAGATTTATTGCTAGAAGAAATCGTTTTCTTAGTTTACAGGCATTTATATTTTTTAATATTAGATATATATATTAGCATAATGCCTTACCTTGACACATGTGTTCATAAACGTCTGCCCATTTATTTCTTGGTAAAGCTGTTAAAGCACCAACTCTTGGTTGTACTTCCATTTCACTTTCACCAGCTATTGACTCTTCAGCGAACTGTGTAACACGACGTAACTGATTATATATATCTTCTTCACTTAATCTACTCCCATTAGTTATGACATCAATAACGAAGAACTACGAAGAAAAAAACATTGAAAATTCTAAAAAAATTCCTCTAAAATTGTTTGAATTTTATTAAGTTTGAATTAACATAGATCTTTCTTAGTTCGAAAGATTTAAGACAATTATCGTAAGTACTTTTGTATTTTGACTGTAAGTTATATCTTGAACTGAGATCACCTGTAGATTTGATGAATATTAGAAAGCGTTGGATATTTGTCTTATCTTAGTTTACAGCACTTCATCAATCCTCAGTCAGAACCCAACATCGGATTGGGCTCAGTATTTTATGTCTTTACTATTTTTTGTAAAGAAAATGCTGAAGGTTTGACATTTACCACATAATTTCACAGTGGAGTTAAGTAAGTATTCGCAATCAAGATATATTGTAAAGGTATTTTTTCGTTATTAAAAGGACTTCATGTCAACAATAAATTTTATGTTTAAATCCATAACACTTAAGTCATATATATACATCATTATCACGCAGTGTTAGTGGTAAGTAACTACTTCACTTCCAATATGGTTGAACGCCACTAGTTACATCTTTTGATTAGAATTATGGGGCTTACCTCTTTCTATTTAAACACATAAATACTGGTACAAGGGAGCACCAGATACAAATGCGCCGCACAAGTCTCATTTGATTTGTGGGAGGGCTGTGATACTGCCCGGGTTCCCAAACCGAAGCAGGTGGTTTTCTTAGGGGGCCACACGCGAAGCCTTCGATGTAAAGGTCGGATCCACAAGGTAGTAGAATATTGTAAGGGGATGCAGTCCCATGGTAGCCGGTCACTAATAATTGGTTCATACTCTCCGTGTCCACCAACCCGGTTAAAGAGCCAGACATCCACTCTTCGTCCTCTTAATTTCGTAAACAACATCCTCGCCACGAAAAGACAACGAGTGGCCATATGAGAGCATTTGGAGAGGAAGAAGCGATTCTTCCCACCCTCAGCCATACCACGGCTTACTTCCTATAAGCAAATGTTGTTTATTATTTCAATGTGTTGTCATGGTTGTTGAATTTGAAGTTTCACGTATTGGAATAATTGTAGTTAGATTACTATTTTTCTATCAATGTTCATTAAAACATCTTTATGTTTGATACTTATCAGATAGCTACACAAAAGATTGTCTAGTTAAATGTGAAACCTGAATTTGTTGGAAATAATTCCTGACGAAGTCATAAATGCATACTGGTAAGAAGTCGATATAAGAATAAAACAATTGTCTAGTATGTATTTGTTAGTTTCCGATAGTTATCGAGTTAAACTCAGGTCATAATAAACAGTCTTAATAAACTTTTTTTAACTAAGAATAATATATATTTATCATCTTATGCCAACTAATTGAACTTTGAGCATTTCCTATTAGGGTAACAAAATAAATGACAATTTATGTTTAATAATTATTCTCTAAGAATATGTACCCTTTCTACATAGTTTTTATATGATTCTACCGAAAAAAATATTTCATCAATAAGATTATTATCTCATTATTATTATTATCATTATTATCATTATTACAGTAATTTGCTTATTGAGTATTATGAAATCCACGGGTAGATAATGACCCATTATTACTCCCATGAGAGAGAAAAATGAAAGATGATTCAACAAATGAATATAAAGAAATAACAATAATAATGTAATAATTTTATCAGAATAATCAATAATCATCATGATGTTACTTCATTTGTGTATATTTACCAAAAATGATAAAGTTTAAGTCAAACATATTTGTGTAACTCAATATAGAAGATTATTTATAAATATGGGATTAAGCCAAAATATGAAAACAAACAGAATAGAAAAAAAAGAACACTGATATTATGAAAACAAAAATTAATGATCATCTAATCAATCATTTGTTAAAAATATAAACAGAATATATAGTTGTTCATTTTTATTATTCTAATCACTAGAACAAATCCAGATGAAGATAACTAGTGTAGCAGCAGCCTTTGTGTCAGTAAACCTTGTCATACACAAAGGAAAAAGAAAGATCCTCAAATTTAACACGGAGAACAGCAATCCAATCATACTTGATGGAGAAACTCTGGAAGATGTGGGATCCTTCACATACCTGGGAAGTATCGTCGACAAACAAGGAGGTTCAGATGCAGATGTAAATGAGAGGATTGGCAAAGCAAGGACAGCATTCCTTCAATTAAAGAACATATGGAACTCAAAACAACTGTCAATCAATATCAAAGTGAAAATCTTTAACACGAACGTCAAGGCAGTCCTACTGTACGGAGCTGAAACTTGGAGAACTATAACAACCAACATCAAGAAGGTACAAGTATTTATCAATAGCTGTCTACGCAAGATACTCAACATCCATTGGCCGGATACCATCAGCAACAGCCTTCTGTGGGAGAGAACCAACCAGCTTCCAGCTGAAGAGGAAATCAGGAAAAAACGGTGGAAACGGATCGGACATACATTGAGGAAATCATCAAACTGCATTACGAGACAAGCGCTAACTTGGGATCCTGAAGGGAAGCGGAAAAGAGGAATGCCAAAGAACAGATTTTGTCGGGAAATCGAAGCAGATATGTAAAGGATGAATAAGAACTGGGAAGAGCTGGAAAGGATTGCCCGGGACAGAGTTGGATGGAGAATGCTGGTGAGCGGCCTATGCTCCTTCACGAGGAGTAACAGGCGTAAGTAAGTAATCACTAAGAAATTATAGCGAACTGTTTTTTAAAGTATTGTAATTTATTTTTTTAAAACTAGACATCATTCTTTAATATAAAAAAGAATATATTTTTAAAAAATTTACCTGGTCTAAATAAATGACAATAATATGTTCAGGATCGAATGGATCTCGTTCAGATGTTGTTACAAGTATATCTTTAGTTTTACCTGGATAACGATATGAACTAAATAATCGATAATATTGTTCCATACAAAATGGTTGACCTTTTTTACTATGCCGTGCTCGATCGATTGGAAGTGAACGGCTAAAATAGAATAAAATGAGTTTATAACTTCTTAAATTAGAATATTTACACATAAAAAAATTTCACACTGTGTTAAGAAACAGAATATTACACAATCAATGTATTTATATTTTGATGGTATTATTAAGTATATAAGGGATTGAATTAAAATGATTCTAGGTGTTATTGTTCTTTTTTAAATGTAGAATGACTTACAATATATTTATCCATTAGTTTAGGATTGTGGAGATTGTTGAATTTTACCGAGATCATAAACCGACTAATAGTGGTCATTTGTGGTAAATCCACTAAATAGCCGTCCAGTACTTCCATTTTTTAAATGGTGGTCCAACATTGATCGGTTCATCATTTCAATGTTTACTTTTATTAATTTTTTTCTTACAGAAAATCATAATTTGATTTGTGATAACTGATGACAGAAATTTCATTGATACACTAACTGCTACCCGTATTAAAGACTTAAGGAACATGATCGTGTTAAGTTTCAATTAAACATAACCTGGTCATTATATTCAAATTGAGTCTTTTTGTGATATACGGTGATTTTCATTTTTAGTCAACGTGAACCATTGTGTTCGTTTCACGCGTAACGAAGGGTCGATTTTTCATTAGTTCCGACAACAACTACATTGTTTTGTTAAAAGATTCAAAAAAGAACTAGCCGATTACCATTTATTGAACCGTGAGAAGAATTGAGCCAAAAGATCATTACATGGTACAAAACTTATTCAAAGACCTATACATAATCGTTTAGAAAAATATTGAAAATGCTATTCCTGATATCAGATGAAAGCTGAAAAGCAACGTATGTTATGTTATTAAATTTATTTTGTTGAGCAAACCAGATCAAATTACCAATGTTCGTTACGATCTTTGGTTATATTTGATAAAACAGTTATAGAAGTTTGGCAGTAAAAGTTGTTGAATGGTTTATAATATAAAGTTGTTAACATTTATTGTTATCGAATCAGCTTAACATAGTTGTATATGCTAAAGTGTTAGGTGACATCTCTTTAAGTTCAATTTACCGCTGAATAAGAAGAAAGTTGAAACGCTATTCGAATGATTAAATTTTATTTTTAGCAGTTATTTTGCAGAAAACGATTGGAAACCTACCGAAAAGAAATTTATGTCGTGTGTAATTAAAATTAATGGTGGTTTAGCTTATGTCGACTCATGAAGCCAACCATTAAAATTTATTACAATCTCTACAAACTCTCATTCTGATGATTGTTAATCAATTTTAGTATATGGTACAATCGGGGATCATTATATAAAAGAATAACCTGATTACCATGATAGGTAAAATTATCTGAATTCTACTTTGCAATACTTTATAATAAAAGAAATACTATTCATAGAATATAGTGAGTAAACGTTTAGTTTTTGATAACTTAGCACAAATTACACCATATAAAATCATAATAAAAGAATTTTCTTTTTATTGCTATTATTGCTCATATTATATTTGCGTGTATTCCAATTTATTAATTAAATTTTATTAAGTAAATAAATGGAAAGAAAAATTGTTTACTTTAAGAGAAGATTGTGAGAAAAAAGAAGAAAAGGAGTAAAAACAATCGTTATCATCAGTGAATATATCATTATTATTTTTCTTTCTTTTTTTAACGGAAGTAAATCTTATCGAAAAACTAGGAGAAAAAGAACATTGTTCAAATATATTTAAGCAATGATGGATAGTGGCTAGCAGTGGGATCTTATTTGAGACTCGTCAGCTAGATATACCTGCATCTCAGAGTTGATGTCCACTCCGGGACTCGAACCCAGTACCGTTCACTTTAAACGTCATCACGTCATCCACTTAGCTACTGAGTCCTGATAGCTACTTGTTTATGCAATGTGGTGAAGTTTAATTCACTTGGTATTGTTTTACTTGAATCGTTCTAATGTTATTTAGGACTGCAATTGATCAGTCTCATGCTGGCATATGTGAATCCTGTGCGGATTGCCTCGATATATACTTAAGTTACAAGCTTTTTAAGCAAAGATACATATATCAACATGAAACTGATCAATTGCAGTCCTGAATAACAATAGGAAGATATAAGTGAAACGATATCTTGTGAATTGTTCAAATCTATTTTTTCGCGGTAAAATTTTATTCTATTTTTTTTATTAAAATTAGAATAGAAAACAGGTGATAAAAATAAACTTTAGATGTAATTTGATATTCATTAAAGGTTGAATTGATGTATGTATACATCATCTTTTCTATACCTTACTTTTTATTAGATATTTGATATTAAAGTAAAGAAAAGAATTTATACGGTTGATATATCTATTTAATATAGAAAATAGATGATTATATATATGTTTAAATGTTGAAAAATATTTTCAGGCAAATGATGAGAAAAAAAATTTTTTATGAACTTTTGAAGTGGAAAACAGGTCAACGCTATGTAGAGTTTTCTTTCTTTCTTCTTCTTCCTCTGTTATCAATTTTCTTCAGTGAGTTCCCCTCCTTTTTGTGACTCATTCATGCATTCACCATGATACTCAGCTGTTCGATTACACGATAAACACAGTTAACAATTATATGTATATATATACACCCATACCAACAAACAAATTCATACATATACGCTACAACTTTACTTTTTCTATATCATTGCCTACATTCTCTGTAAGTATGAGACATTAAATTGACGGGCAAACAAAATAAGTATTAGTTAAATGCATGCACAGGTCTTTCTATAAAACAAAATAATAATTATTATTATTATCATTATTATTATTATTACTATTATTATTATTATTCATTCAGTCAGTCAGTCTTCCATTCCGATTCCACGTGTTGTTGTTTGTTAGTTTTTTTTTCCGCAGCAAAAGATTGTCACGAAGTTTAATTTATTAAAAAGTTTATTTAACACTTCAAAAATCTCATTAATTACCGAAAGAGAAGTAGTAAGAGAAATGAGGATAGTTACAGAAGTGAAAAAATTTACAGAATTATATTTACTGATAAAGAAAAAAGACGGATATTTTTCTGAAAAAAGAAACCATCGTCAGAAAAAAGAAACCAATTTGTTTCCTTATCTTTCTTATCTATAAAGTAATAATATATGAGTTCATTTCATATTTTTATGATATTACCATCCACTTCATTCAATACCGAGATAACAGTGACTAGTAAAGTTGAATAGTGGCTAACGATGGGATACAGAATGCATTAAATAAACCGGTAGTCATTTGGAATCAGTTGAAAGTTTGAAACAAAAGGTATCGAGCTAAAGTTCTGATGTGAGCATCAATACTGAAATGCAGGTACATTCAATTAACAAGTCCTAAATGGAAAAATACCTGAGTTCTGGGTTCTACTAGTAGCCAATATCTAAATTCACTAAAAACTAAATCATAATGTTCATAAAATCCTTTCAAAAAAGATAAAAACGAAAAGGAAATAGTTAATTGAAGTCTTTAATATCAACAACGAAGAAACACAATCTTTATAAAATAAGACAAAAAAGAATAAATATGAAACGATAAACGTTTTACTTAATAAGGAAAATAAAATTCGCTTTATTTTTACATAAATAACATTAGTGAACTCCGCCTGTAGCTCTCCTAGAGCTACTGCCGGTCCCAAGCCCGGATAAAGGAAGAGGGTTGGGCATGGGGTTAGCGTTTCCATCCCGTAGAAAACTAACTCGCTAAAAAAATGATAACCAGAAAAAATAACTCAAACCATTTAAACTCTGCCCTGGGAGTTAGAAAGTCTTCATTTATAAGAAATATGACGCCTCATGATGAAAGCCGACTTCCTTCGGAAGCCATAAGGCCGATGCCCCTTCTAACAACCAGAGCAACAATTTTTATAGGTACATGGAACGTTCGGACAATGTGGGAGAACGGGAAGACCAGTCAAATAGCAGCTGAGATGAGGAGATACAACTTGGCAGTACTGGGAATGAGCGAAACCCATTGGACCCAAGCTGGACAACAAAGGCTAAATGCGGGAGAGATGCTGCTATACTCCAGTCACGAAGAGGAAAATGCCCAACATACTCAGGGAGTTGCTCTAATGCTGTCCAAAGTAGCACGAAATGCACTCGTAGGATGGAAATCTCACGGATCCAGAATCATCAAAGCATCATTCAAAACAAAGAAGGAGGGGATCACAATGAACATTATCCAATGTTATGCACCCACCAATGATAGCAACGACGAAGTTAAAGATCAATTCTATGAGAGGCTGCAATCAATCATAGAGAACTGCCCAAGAAAGGACCTCACCATTCTGATGAGAGATCTAAACGCCAAAGTCGGAATAGACAACACCGGATATAAAGATATCATGGGACTTCATGGACTAAGAGAGAGGAATGAAAACGGGGAAAGATTTGCAAATCTGTGTGCATTCAACAAATTAGTCATAGGTGGCACAATATTTCCACACAAACGTATACACAAAGCTACGTGGATCTCACCGGACCACACCACAGAGAACCAGATAGATCATATTTGCATCAATAAAAAGTTCCGAAGGACAATAGAAGATGTGAGAACTAGGAGAGGAGCGGACATAGCTTCAGATCACCACCTGGTTGTGGCCAATTTAAAACTGAAGCTAAAGAAGAATTGGACAACTGGACAAACAGCGCTGCAAAGATTCAATACAGCCTTCCTTCGAGATACTGACAAACTTAATGAATTCAAGATAGCTCTCAACGACAGGTTCCGAGCCCTACAGGATCTACTGAAGGAAGAAGAAACTACTATGGAGGATAACTGGAAAGGTATCAAAGAAGCATTAACTTCAACGTGTCAAGAGGTTCTGAGCCCCAAGAAGCATCATCACAAGGAATGGATCTCTATAGAAACACTGGACAGGATGAAAGAAAGGAAGAACAAGAAAACAGCAATTAAAAATAGTCGAACCCGAGCAGAGAAAGTCCAAGCACAAGCTGAATGAATAGAAGCAAACAAGCAAGTGAAGAAGAGCATTAGAGCCGACAAGCAGAAATACGTGGAAGAACTAGCAACGACGGCGGTGAAAGCTGCAAGAGAAGGAAATATGAAACAGTTTTCTGATACAACGAAGAAACTAGCAGGGAAATATAGTAAAGCAGAGAGACCAGTCAAAAACAAAGAAGGAAGACCGATCGCTGAGATTCAGCAACAGCGGAACAGATGGGCAGAGTACTTCGAGGAACTCCTGAATAGGCCGGCGCCAATGAATCCACCGAACTTCGAAGCAGCACACACAGATCTTCCTATAGATGTCAATCCACCAACGACGGAAGAAATCAGAATGGCCATCTGACAAATCAAGAGCGGAAAAGCAGCAGGACCCGACAATATACCAGCTGAAGCACTGAAGTCAGATTTGGGAAGAGGAACAAGTGCCGACGAACTGGAAGGAAGGACACCTTATCAAGATTCCAAAGAAAGGAGACCTGAGCAAGTGTGAAAATTACAGAGGCATTACACTACTGTCAGTACCAGGATATGTCTTTAACAGAATGTTACTGAACAGAATGAAAGACACAGTAGACGCTGAACTTCGAGATCAACAAGCTGGATTCCGTAAGGACCGGTCGTGCACAGACCGAATTGCGACACTACGGATCATCGTCGAACAATGAATTGAGTGGAACTCGTCACTGTACATCAACTTCATTGATTATGAGAAGGCATTTAACAGTGTAGATAAGAGAACGTTATGGAAAATTCTTCGACACTACGGAGTTCCTGAGAAGATTGTCAATATTATCCGGAACTCATATGACGGACTACAGTGCAAAGTAGTGCATGGAGGCCCGCTGACAGATGCATTCCAAGTAAGGACCGGAGTCAGAAAAGGCTGTCTACTCTCTCCCTTCCTCTTTCTTCTGGTGGTCGACTGGATTATGAAGACTTCGACATCTGAGGGAAAACACGGCATACAATGGACAGCTCAGAACCAATTAGACGATTAAGTCTTCGCAGATGACCTAGCCCTCTTATCGCATACACAAGAATAAATAAATGCAGATAAAGACAGCCAGGGTAGCAGCAGTCTCTGCATCAGTAGGCCTCAACATACACAAAAGGAAAAACAAGGTCTTCAAGCACAACACGGAGAACACCAACTTAATCACACTTGATGGTGAAACTCTGGAAGATGTGGGATCCTTCACATACCTGGGAAGTATCGTCGACAAACAAGGAGGTTCAGATGCAGATGTAAATGAGAGGATTGGCAAAGCAAGGACAGCATTCCTTCAATTAAAGAACATATGGAACTCAAAACAACTGTCAATCAATATCAAAGTGAAAATCTTTAACACGAACGTCAAGGCAGTCCTACTGTACGGAGCTGAAACTTGGAGAACTATAACAACCAACATCAAGAAGGTACAAGTATTTATCAATAGCTGTCTACGCAAGATACTCAACATCCATTGGCCGGATACCATCAGCAACAGCCTTCTGTGGGAGAGAACCAACCAGCTTCCAGCTGAAGAGGAAATCAGGAAAAAACGGTGGAAACGGATCGGACATACATTGAGGAAATCATCAAACTGCATTACGAGACAAGCGCTAACTTGGGATCCTGAAGGGAAGCGGAAAAGAGGAATGCCAAAGAACAGATTTTGTCGGGAAATCGAAGCAGATATGTAAAGGATGAATAAGAACTGGGAAGAGCTGGAAAGGATTGCCCGGGACAGAGTTGGATGGAGAATGCTGGTGAGCGGCCTATGCTCCTTCACGAGGAGTAACAGGCGTAAGTAAGTAAGTAACGTAGAATATTAAAACGAACATGGATCTGTTACTTTTAAAGCGAATTCACTTTACAGCATAATTTGAGCTTTATTATTGATTATGTTTAACAGATATGAACATTAAGGTAATATATAATCATTACAATGATGGCTATCAAGACTGATTATCTAAATGGATAACGCTATGGCGTTTAAAGCGAACGTTACTGGGTTCGATTCCAAGAGTGAATATCAACTCTGGGATGCAAGTAAATCTATTTGACAAGTCTCAAATAGGACGAAACACGTGTCAAACTGGATTCCACTGCTAGACATTATCCATCTTTGCTTATAATGTCAATGTTTGTTCATAAGTTTTTATTAAAATTTTTAGTTTTATTATTCTAATAATTAGGTGCATATTAACAATTACATTTTAGGTTTGTAAACTTATAGTGTGTACACTGCTTCAAAGTTAATAATTTGAAATTTAACAATTTCGCTTTCAATATTACCAAGGAGTTTTAAATTAGATCATATTTACTATTCATTGATGAAATCTTTTCAATAACCTTTCAGATAATTTACATTAAACTTTTTAATGAAATGTATTTCAATGCTGAAAAACGGTTTATATTCTTGTAAGAAATATTTTTCATTAAATTTAAAATTTCTAGATCGTTCAAACTAACTTTGAGATCAATATAAAGTAGTTCATACATAGAAACTTACGTGTCTAATATTGTTTTATAATCAAGAATTCCAGAAATCAATTGAGCAGCAAATCTAATATAGATAAGATGAAACAAAAATATAGATGAAAATAATGCATGAAATTGTTTTATTCATCTATCTAATCAATTTAAAAGACAATGTGTTATTCATTAAAGATGTTTTTATTATAAGAAATGTTCACGATAGATTTCATTCGATGTATTAGGTGGTTTAAAGAATAATAGTTTCAGTTACATGTAGATCATAATCATATTATTATTATTTATTATTCCGTAAACAACACCTCAATCACGAGAAGACACTGAGTAGGACTTTCCTGGCAGAAGCTATATACGTGTGACCATGTGAGAGCATTTGGAAAGGGAGAGTGGACTCTCTCCACTCTCGGCCGTACCAGGGCATTTGGAAATTGATTTCACGGAAGATTAATATATAAGTTAGTTAAAAGTGGTCAATTAGAGTAAGCTAAGAAGATTGCATATGAACACATAACTATATGCTTTCTTTACTTTAATGTTCTCTTATAAATAATTATGTATTGAGCAATAAGTTGTATATTAATCAGTATAAAAAGTAGTTAGAACAATGTGTAATTTTCTATTGTTCATTGAATTCCAACTTGGGATAATTTTATTTTAACCACAAAGTGAATAAACAGAATTAGATTGGTAAGGATTACTAAGTGCAAATAGTTACCAAGGTATATTCAATATAATAAATTATTCCATTTAAATAATAAATCATACTATACATTAACAGTCTACAGGTCATATTACTCCATGTGATGTTAGCCGCCTATGGTACCCATTCTACTATGGAATGAATTTCCTGAAGGTTGTTTATTACTTACCAGTTCTGCATAAAGAAAATTTGTATGAATTAAAGTAAGACCGGTTTCCTCTTAATGATAATTGAAGCTAAAAAATATCTTATTCCTAATAGAATATAATTCAATCGTTTTGAAATTGTTTATTCAATTATTGTTAACCAGATTTGAATCGGATTCACCATGGAGTTCAATGTATATTTACAAAACATACAGTCCCTTCAATGAATTATTTCTATTATTTTCAAAACAAAAAGTAAAACGAATAACTATAAATTACAATTATCTAAACAAAACCCTCAATGTGAATCACTCATCTTTTCTCAATGGAACATAAGAAAAAAATTAATCGATCAATAATTGAGATAGTGAAGAGTTAGTCTTATTAGTTCATCAAAATACAATGATATGAAACAAAAAAAAGAAGCAATTTAATGCTTGAAGCGTTCACTAATGAGAAATACAAAGGAAAAACGAAACATACACTTATCTGTTATATAATGAATATATCAATATTAAAAGGTAGTGACTAGTCAAGTGTTATAATGATTAGTTAGATAGATATATAGGATAGGCAGGTAAGACTAGGTAGTAGCAGATGTTAAAAATGAAGTAAGAAAAACCGAATCAAATATAGGTGGTTGACCAAGATATGAGAAAACATTTCATTGACTGCAAATAAAGATGAACATTTTCGAAGAGAAGAAAAAAAAACATAACAAGACACTTTTATAACGCAATCGACGTTGATTATAATTTTAGTAGAGTTTCTTCAGTTCACTAAAAAAACCTAATTGAGATAACTAAGGTGAATTTACAAATTAGATTACGATATTACTGAAACTACCTCCCTGTTTTTTATTATTTTTTTCTTAACCCAATCCCACTGATACATGCATAAATGCAAACACATATAGTTTCCTATTGAACTTCACCCTACACATCTACCTACTTTTCTACCTATCTATCCATCGTCAATGGTTATTTAGCTAATGAAATAGGCAAAATTATACTTAAAGTAGATGATGAAAGGCTGTTGAAAAAAAGTCAGTTCATCTTGAAAATGAATAATTTCATAATACTTGGTACTTACTATCCTTGGGGCAATTATATATATATATATATATATATATATATATATATATATATATATATATATATATATATCCAACTACATACAAACCTACACAGTAGACTTTATTCAGTCTAATTTTATTTATTGGGAAATGATGTAAGTGGTGGTGAAAAGAAAATAGAAAAGGAAGAAACACAGAAGACGAATAACGTTATAAATAAAAATAGGTTTTCTTCATCAGTGCAAATAAGTATATGAAGGTGAAGGAGAATATTGATATTTGTATATTTAAAAAAGTCCTAAGATAAAGAATACTTTTCAGTATCTGTAAATTAAACATGCTTAAACTCTTAAACTGCCAATATTTCTCGTTGTGACCTGATATCAATTACGAAGTCGCTGAAAATCAGAAAGAATTACATAAGAGCCGTTTTTCTTTTCATACTTGTGAACTTATTACCAATGTATATTCACTTAGATACTTGAAATTCATTTCATGGCATCGAGATTAAAAAGTGAGGGCAGACGTTCAATTTTCAATCATAGTTAATTTATGACATCGCATGATCGTTGTTATTGATTTCCTGTCCCATAGCTCACTTAACCGAATCAGTATATTTCTGTGTTTATTTTCGAAACCAGCCACACTTGATAACATGATAACTATTAAGTAAGGTTTCGTATAAATAGAAAGTATTGTTAATCTTAGTTTCACTTGTGAATGAGTATTGATGAATTTAAAGATGTTCATTCACTTATTCGAATGTAACAATATTTTGATATATTATTAAACTGATCACCCCGAGATCGAGTGTTCACATGTCAAAATGATCAATATTTACATACCAGACTAAAAGTTTTGATCATTGTGTAATAAACAATATCATATTGGTCTAGTCCTTAGTAGTATTCGAATTCTATCAATCAATTAGCAATTCGGTCACTAGCCTAAGTGACTCAACATCGCGTGCACTATTTTGGTGACTAGAGGTAGTCGATATGAAAACCTAGACTTTATGCAGCGATTTTCATTTATTAAAATGAAAGAAAAGAATATTGGTCGATTGATGATATTTCAATCATACAATATGAACAGGTGATGGCTGCTCACAAAATTCAATTAATAATACAATCCTTGAATATTTGAAGACCAAAGGCAAGACAACCGAAAACAAGCATATGTTTTCTTCTGTAAAAAAATAACACGCTTATAAACAAAGGAATAAACATGACTAGGAGTATTTTGATAAATAAATGACTGAGAAGTATGGGAGCTATAAATCATTCACTTTCTAATAGAATAAATCCTTAACTAGCAGGGAAAATTCTAGCTCATTTTATCACCTTCTCCCATGAATGATGTGCGACCCTCACGTGACAATATTAGTAAAGTAGTGAAACTTTTGACTTTATTCCTTAAAATATATTTCTCTTATATCTACGGAATGCAAGATACTTTGTCTAACCTTTGAATTTTAAGGGAAGATCAAGTCATACCTTCGCTTTCTACATTCTCTTTAGACTGATTACTTAGTACGTGAATTAACTGGTATTCACCATTCGGTTCATCTAAAAGTAATTTGATATGTTTCACCTGTAATTGAATTAAACAAATGAAGGATTTCAATTCATTCAGTGTAATCGACATCTTAATTAATTTTTTTCCTCATTACCCCTTAAAACTCAACATTCTAAACAGAATGAGTTTGTAGGTTTCATTATCAAAGTTTTGCTTGCTAATTTCGAATAAACTGAGCATTGGGTAGATTGCTATAAATAAATAAATAATATATTTGTAATATCGCAATGAGTGGAAAAATTAGATTTTTTGACGTTTCGTGACTTAGTGTAAGCCACTTCTTCAGAGAATAACGTAAGAAAATCTAATTTTTCTACTCATTGGGATATTACAAATATATTATATATTTATTCTAAACAGAAGTTTATCATTACTGAAGCTGAACTTAAGAAATATGTTAAAGTGAAACTCATGAATGATTGAAGTTAAACTATTATAGTTGAATTGAAAATTGTTAATAAACTTCATTACCAATTCATATAATCACTGAATAAAGTACTTGTAATAAGAAACAATGATTTGTACGAGATAAAAACTAAAGATAGAAGCATTTTCTGAAAATACAACAATCACTTATTAATCATATCTACTCATTTATATACTGATTTTATTGACATTTGATATTTAGTCAATATGATATACAACTAAGGCAATGTCAATCCGAAACAGATCTTTCACTAAATTGACATAAACAAATACTCTGTGTTATCATAAATGAACATTATGCTAAATGAATCAGAAAGAATATTATCGTAAACTAAAATATAATTTGTGGTATTTTAAAACTTTAACACAAATTGTTCAATAACGTTTTCAATTGTTTTATTGATATTCTCTCAATGTATAACTTTTTAACAATGTAAATAAGTAGTTCTGTTAAATGTTCTTAGTTGATGTCATTTAGAAGGTGAAGTTTATCAAAATTAGTTGGTGTACATTTTCAAAGAATTCTAAACAGGAATGAAATATTTATTTCAATGCTAGTGAGTTTTACTCATATGAACTACGGATCCAGTACTATATACACCGGTCTTCTTTGTTTTTGCTGAGATTTTTAGAATATTTCAGTTATGTTACACTTATATGTGTCATATTTCATTAAATTAATATAAGCCCCCAAATGCCCTGGTGCGACCGAGGGTGCGGAGAGTTAGCTCTCCCTCTTGAAATGCTCTCACATGACTACACGTACACAACCACTGCCAGGGAAGTCCTACTCATTGCCTTCTCGTGGTAAGAGTGTTGTTTATGAAATTGAGAGGACGAAAAACGAATCTAAGGCGCTTTAACCGGGTCGGTGGACATAGAAAGTCCACCTATGGGAGTTGGAAAACCCTGATTATAAACCAAGGGTGCACATGAACTCCAGCATCCTGTGGGAACAAATGACGTATGAATCAATCATTTGTGACCGGCTACCATTGGACTACATCTTCTAACGTTGCTCCATTGCCTTGTGGACCAGACCCTTAGGTCGAAGGCTCACGGTGTGACCCCTAAGGAAACCACCTGCTTTGATCTGGACACCCGAGCAGTATCCCAGTCCACACACAAATCAAGTGACTTGTGTGGTTCATATGTATTCAGTGTCCGTTTGTACCAATATTTATGTATTCAAATAAATAAATCATCAATTAATTAACATAAATGTGTTATTGTTAAGCTTCTATATTCACGTAAATATGTTTTGATTCTAATTGACTCCTATATTCTTATGAATTCAATGAAGAATGATTTCATAATGTTAAAAATTCATTTTTTTCCAACATGACAGAATATTCAGTTATAATACATTTGTAATAACAGAATCATAAAACAGGTTACATTAATAATTTGTTTTTGCGATTATTTGTATGGAAGTCAACTTACATTAGGAATGTTTATTTGGAAATGAAAAACTGAATCATGAGGACTTGAATTCCGTGATTACGTAATTATTTATCAAATTTCATTTATTTTATGAACAGTAATTGAAATATGTTTATAATAAATGAGAACATCTAAATGTCGGTTGGAAGACATTCGATTCTTTAGTCGAAACATAATTTATATTCATCATATTATCAATTTGGATGTCATCTATTTTTATCAGATATTGTTATTACTATTAACCTATACAAAATGATATTGTAGCTTTTATCCTGATGCATCTAATTGTTCATGTTTATTGATCTGCAGCTCTATTGAAAAGTACCTGAGTTATTTGTTTAAACAACAAAATTGAATAATGACAAAAAGTTTTATAGTATTGAAAGTACTGTCTGATCATTAAATAACAATTATTGTCATATTCGTCTAGTTCTTAGTTTTGAATGAATTCCATCTATTGGAGTGCAATTTATCTATTAGTAGGAGTGACCCAATATTTTATATTTCATGATTTAATTTCAAGAAGTTGAAAACAATCGACTGAAAGATCCAAGCGAATATTTCGCTTTAAGTAGTATAGATCAGTAGGACGTGTTTAAAATGTCAATGGAATTCAAACTCGTGTTGAGCACGGTTACAATCAATGACTTTCATATTATTCTGTTTAAATCTTAAATGGCTACCTGTATTCATAATATCCAGAAGTTCATCAATTAAATTAAAGATCACATACTGATTCCTACCACATCACCGAACTCAGTGACATTCTAATAATGATATTTTTTGAGGAACTGCTTTCAATGAACCAACATGAGTAAAGTAATTTGATAGTTGAATTCATGAGTCAATTGAATCTAGACCACCATGGAAAATATGGAAGCACTGAACGACCGTTTTATCTTAGTATGCGCATTCAACATCCCACCTCACGAGATTCGAACTCAAGACCTATCAGTCTCGCGCGCGCGTACGTTTAACCACTAGACCACTGAGCTGACATCTAACCAGTGCTTCCAGATTTTCCGTGATAATTCTAGTTTTAATTGACTCGTGAATACACAAAATCCCTCTCTAATTATAAGCAAAATAAACTCAAGTTAGTCTAGTAATTTACACTAAATTAATGTCTTAAAACTTCTATTACTAATTCATACTTAACTATTACTTTTACCCAAAAAATGTTGATTAACTAGTTAGTTTATTTGACAAAAATAATAAATTATGACATAACTAGTTAATTAATTTTTGTTTTGCAATTGTTCTCTCTAATGCTAAATGTATTTTCGTTTTTGTTGTTCTTTACTCCCTGGTTTATTATTCTACTATCTTCCTTTTTTTGTCTTTTTTTTACTCATTTATTCTGTTATTGTCTAACGTAATGAGATGTATTCAAGGTGAAAGGTCGCGAATACAATTAAATAAACTTAAGCAACTAATAAATTAACATGAAGTCTTTATTGTTAAGAAATGTGTAAATAAATAAAAAAGCAAAAAAAAATAAAGTTGTGATAAAATAATAAAAGGCAATAAAAAAGAAGAGAAAAAGACAATGGTTAAAACTGGGTGTGTCATATTGTTCTACATTATTCTATTCATAATAATCAAATTCATAATTTAGGTAATGTGAATTAAAAGAACAAAAGTAGATGAATTTAAATAGGATATATGATAGTGAAGATTAGTTTACTTAAATAACGAAATATGACACATAACTATTACAACATGAAGATGAAAGAAAAAGGATCTTTTTTAATGTATAAACTATATTGTATAGATATTAAATAATAAGGATTAGAATGAGATAAGTGTTAATTTTGAGCTTGTTCAAATTTGATCAGTTTCCGATATATAAGTGTTATATCCTGATGAGAATTATGAATGGTAACTCATGAGAACTATTTATGGATCAATACGATACATATATTTTTATTGTATAATTATTAAGTAGCTAAATTATGTATATTCATATTCTTCTTATTAGCTTTATTTTAACCTATAGACTATTTTTATACGATTTACCATTCTTGAGTTATGCCCAGTCTATCAATTACTATCTTCCACATTCACAGCCACGTTTGGTTAGATCTTGTACGAATATTGTTTTCTATTTTATGGTACGATGTGATCTGTTTAGTTTGTATATAAATCCGGTATGTTTGAAATACATGATTCATATTACAGAAGCTGAAATTGATGTTCTGGATTGAAGAACCGATATATATATATATATATATATATATATATATATATATATATATATATATATATATATATATATATATATACAATGAAACCATTAGGTAATAACAATTACATCTTACCTTAACTGTTGTCTTGTACTAATAAAAGAATGACGTGGAAATACCATACCTGGACTAGAATTAATTGGTAATGGTGCAGGATTTAATAAATACATATCATCTAACCACCATTCTGTAACCTGTTTTATATAAATATTTAAGTATAATAAGTATTTAATATAAAATAAAACAAATGTAAATTCATTTTAAATCATTCAGTAAAATACGTTACATTTTCTATGAAAGAACAAGAAGGATAATACAATGTTATATTGAATAATAAAAATAACTAAATTTTGTTTTATTCCCCATTTTTTTCTTTCTATTATAAATGAATAAGAAATTGAATGTTTATTATCTATGTGAGAGAGAAAAAAATCTATATTAGAATCCAGATAATTGCGTATGGGAATAGTTACAGGTGCATTTAACACTGATCATCCACATCATCATTATTATCATCCTCATCATTGTTGTTGATGATGATAATAATGAGAGATTTTTCATTCTTCTCAAATAGATAACAAAAGAGAAGAATGATAGATAGAAAGAATAAGTAACTAATGGGAATCAACTAGAGAAAGAAATAGGCAGATAATTTGATGAAATGAGTTATCTTATCTCTCTCTCTTTTTTTTCTTTTTTTCATGAAAATACAAAATTTGGAAAATGATGGTTTATCTCTAGGAAGAAAAAGTGTCCATTATGAGAGTATAATATATTTAGAAAATGTGAATAAATAGCGTAGTGTTGATTCATCAGTGCACTACAATGATAAACATATGTAACAGAATAAACTGTTGTGTTGTATTACTTCTTTTCTCAGACATAAATTCTTACATTTAATCTGATGACAAAATTATATATTATGAATGTGTCATTTTTTCACATCAATTGTCCAACTTAGATCGGTTCATGATCTCAATAGAAATTCAATGATCTTCACAATCCCCATACTGATAAGTATCATGTTATCATTGGTGAGTAGTTTTGGGAGGAAATTTCCAGAGCTTTGATAAAAAGCACTGACCACCGCAACTAAACTGTGTCGAATATAGGGAATGTACTCCACGAAGACAATAGAAGGTTATTGCTCAATATCGTGGGTTGATCATCGTATATCGGTTGGATAGTTTAGAAGTTGAATGCTTATGTGCAAGACTTCAGGTCTTGAGTTTGAACCTCAGTGGTGCGGTTTTCAATATTTACTATTAAGGAGTCTCCTATTAGGACAAAACGGATGTTCGAAGTTTCTAGGTTTCCAATGGTCATCTAAATTAGATCATTCCGTAATATCAGTAAAAATTCAAATCTTCACAACCCCTATACTTATAATCCAATATAGTTTTACGTATGAAGAAGGTGTAATCGAACATTTAGTATAGAAAACATTGAGAAACAATTTTTGTGTTATAAGAAAGGTAATCAAACCGAACTTTTTATTCATTAGTTTCACCTTCGTATAATGTGATCCAGTTTTAAGTCTTGCTCTAGTTGTAGTCATCAATTTTATGATACATTTATCTGATACCATGATGAAATTAAATCGATCTTCCATCACTAAAATCAGTTTAAGGGATGCTGTACTTAAGATTGATTTTCAGATTTTTTTGTATTTAGTGAGTGGGTGTATTTGAAATCTCAACGAAGCCTTAAAAATTGAAATCCGATTTTGTTAATGGGAAAATAATACATCTATACAAGAGCCTTATGATGGGTACTTTTACAAGTAGACTATTATTATCGCTATTATTATTATTATAAGAACTAAGACAAAATTTCCATTTTCGTGGTTTAAAACACGAACCGACCATAGGTAGCCAGCAACTGAAAAACCGGAAGCACTGAACTTCTGTTTCGTTCTGTTTTGGGATTCTTCAGGAGTGCACACTAATGACACCTCAATCGGAGATCAAGCTCAGGACAGTCAGTCTCACGAGTGAGCGCTTGACCTCTAAACCTTTGAGTCAACATCTTACTCCGTTAATGTCTAACTTCAATCAATCCACGGTATTGGGCAACCCTCATCTAAGATGGATAGCTGATGCGTAGCCGACATGGTTGAACTCTACTAGTTACGCCTCCTCACTTAAAATTATATTTTGTATCAAACATTTCTTATATACAATTGTGGCTTATTGAATAAAGCTCATAACCTTGAGCCATATAGTATTTCTAACCCTTTATGAAGGACGTATTAGTTTTACGAATGACTTTTTTCAGTATGAGGTTGTGCAGGTTGCTGAATATCATCGAAATTATTAATCGATCAGTGTTAGACCACGTTTGAAAACCGAGAAGCATAAATGGCCGGTTCGTCCATGATTCCGCACACGGGACTCGAATCCAGGGCCTTTCATCTCTCGCGAATGATTAACCTTAGTATTTTGTTAGACGTAAGACTCAGTTGGCATGAAATTTTCCATTTTTAATCTTTAACATGAGTTAACTCAACACTGATATTTTGTCTATTGTAATACAATAATTAGTTCGAATTTACAACTGTAGAGCCTAATGAAGAAGTTATCGAAATCAATTGTTCCCGCTCTAATATTGATTGTTTCACAAATAGAAGAGCAGGTGTACACTGTTTAGAAATAATGGAATGTGAAAATAAACAGCCATTTGCTACTAAATATTTATAGATTATGTTTTTTAGCACCATCTATTACCTAATAATAATAAGTTTTAAATGTAAACATAACATAGAATACAAGAGGTATTTTGTTTAACATACCCAATTGATCTTTGTCATTGCATATTGTTTAAGTAAATTTTGTAATTCTTCTCCTTCTCCACCAGATTTACCGAATTCTTCAACTAATAGTTTAGTTCGTTCAAAATCTTCTTTTGAAACAACTGGTGCTATTAATCGTAAATATCTATCTAATGTATTATGTAAATCTGGAACCGGTAATCTAGGAAGTGGTTTCTGTATATATATTCAGAAGAAACGGAAAAAAAAATCAAAATATTATAACTATAATATTAAAAATGAAGCAATATATGGAAGAATCATTAACAAACGATTGTAAATTTAAAATGAAACGAAATACAGTTTGATTAGGTAATCCTATAAGGATTTAATGAAGTAGTTATAGTAGATTTCAACCTTAAGTGATATCATTAAAATTAACTTCAAAAATCAAAGAACATACACCAATCATACATATCGATTTAATCACAAAAGATCAAAAATTCTTTATATAGCATTTCTAAGGTTACTGCCAGTATTAAACTTGGATAAAAGAAGGGTTTAGGCATGGGATTAACAACCTTGCTAAAAAAAGAAAACGCTAACCAGAGTAAAAAAAAATTAAACCATTTAAAAAGTTGAGCTTCCGAGAAATTAGTTAATATAAAGATATTTTCATGGTCAAGTAATCATAACATTTCTAAAATGTAATTAATTGTAACTAATTACAAGATTAGTTTTAATAATAACTAGATCAACCATTTAATCTTTGAAACTAGTGAAATACTTTTTTCTTGTGTTTTTTTCTTCTTTTAAATGGCCTAGAATTCCTGTTTCAGCCAACATGGTTGTCATTGATATGAGACTTTGGACTAAATTATTTTGTTGAGAAGTTTAACTATAAATCAATATACCTTTATAAAACTCAGAAAAGTTAAATATATTTCAATGGTTCTACGTGTGATAACTTGTATATATTTAATTCTAATAACTATTTGGTTAATGAAGCATTTATTTATAGTTTACATTTAGAAAAGTGACATACTTTTCAAAATATCCATTTTGATGTAATATGATATAATGAGATAATCTTTTAAAAAGAGCAAGAACAAAGATTCTAGCAGAATAGCATGAATTCATTTTTATTTCGTAGGTTCTCGTCAGCTGCTTACAACCTGTGATATTTAAAAATCATAATTACATAATGGGTTTAAATTGCTTGCATGAGAGGGTTTGGTTGGAAGTTATATTGAGGACATATTCGTAAATTATATCATGGGTGTAAATGAAATTAATAGACTGAATATTGTAAATATATACCTAATGTGAAAGAATATTCTACATCATTAATTGTGACAACAGTTCAAAAGGGTTAGAAACGACTGATTACATAATGAATAAACATTGAAAGGAATATAGTGAGTAGAGTTCAGTTGAAAGATTATCAATTTGAAAGATAGTTGAAAAATAAAAATCAATGATGTAATAAATACAAAAAAATTTTAAGGTGCAGCGAAAGAATATTTGTCACCAAGGCAAGGAAAGATTAACAACCATCTCCTTTTGAACACATAAATCAGGTTTCTGGCGTCTGATGGCAACGGCTTCAGAAGACTGGAGTTTGGCTGCTTACTAATCATTCAAGAGGATTGTAAGGTATCTACCTGATGTCCTGTATCAAGGAGATGTCTGGTGATTGCACTATTCAGAGTCTTTCATTCCCTTGTTCTGAAACTTTTTGGAACATGTTCAAAAAATCTAAGATATGTTCTCTTTTCAGTTCGGTCAATGTAGCTGCTTTGGCAGGTACACGTAAATTTATAAATACAGTTGGCGGTAACATGAAAGGGGTGCTTGTCAATCTTTGGTTGGGTTACTGAACATGTTGTTTAGCAGCCGGATAAGTTCTGACTAGCTCAGTATTCAGTCTCCTGTTGATTCTATGTGCGACGTTATCACCTTTAAAGTTAAGGTTTATAGATACTGGCTTTTTGTTGACCGTAGTAAGCAATTTAAACCCATTATGTAATTATGTTATTTAAATATCACAGGTTGTAAGCAGCTGGCAAGAACCAACGAAATAAAATGAATTCATGCTATTCTGCTAGAATCTTTGTTCTTGCTCTTTTCAAAATGATAAAGGGAACTATGTGTATGAAAAAGATAATATTTTAATTGAAGGTAGTTGATGTGAAAATATGCTTTACATTGCTTTTATGATCACTGGTCATTATATATATTTGAAGAGAGATTTACTCAAAAGAGATTTGTAATGAGTGGCTACACCTAGTTTACTTAAATGGATAATATATAAAACTTGAACATGCAAATATACATTAATATTCCATTATTCTATTATTGTTATTCAAATTATAACTTTATTTACATAATCAAATCATACACATTAAGATTTTTAAGTAGAATCATATTTTACACCATTTTGTATTTGAAACAATTACAATTACAATTTAATCTTACATTACATTTTCTTTTTGAGAAAATGTTATCCTAAAGATAAAAGATGTATTCATTGAAGAGAATTTTAAATGAAGTAACAAATTGTAACTCTATAAATAACAAAATATAAGTATCTCATTGTAATAAGTCACAATAAAAAGATGGTTGTATTCTTTTTTGTCGTTGTTTTTTTTAACTGATCTTGATTTAGGCACTTCATGTTTACATTTCTCTTCATTTATCTTTGGGAATTGTTCCGTTAGCTTAGTTATTGAATGTAATCTGTTGAAGTAATCAGTACTTGAAAAGACATTAGGATATAAGATTAGCTATTGCTTAAAAAGAATTATCAAGTCATTTTGACTAGTATCGTTATGCGTTATTTATCTGTATGTATTATGTAGAAAGTATATTTCTTATAATTAGTGATTCAAATGTCAATTTAGATGTTTATGAATCAAATAAAATAGAGCAAGTGACAGCTATCTGTTTACGAAAATTTTCAATTATATCTATATTTATGAAAGAACATCTAACAGTTTTGAATATTTAATCATGAATATTCGGGAGAATTTATCTATCCTAACCAAACTATCTGAACCAATTCAAATAAGATATTTTTTTCATACTTTTAGTCAGAATGTAAAATACTATTCTCGAGATATGAAGAACATTTGTTCTATCTCTATTAAGTAACAACCACATCGATGATGTCAAATAAGATATAATAGTGTCTTAGAGTTCCTTAGTTTTTAAAGGTTCATCAGTTGAATTCAGTATATAACGAAAACTATATTAAAATTGAACTAATCTATACAACCGACTGACTTCATAATAAATACCCTTTGTATTATAAGAACATGGTAACTTTTGTGAAATTCTACAATAAAAATGAGTATTAAATATCAGTGGGATTTATAGTGATAACTTTTGTTGGTTAGCCCTAGTAAACAGTAAGGAATCCTTGGATCTAAGTTTTCTGTTAGTTGGAACTCGCCAGTGAAGTAAATTGACTGTATTAATAAGTTTATTGTTCTTGGTAGGATTGAAATCCTTCTCTAACAATGTAACAGTTTTAAACCTTACCACTAAGCTATTGTAGTCATAGTTGATCTCCTATTTATGCCAATCAATAGCGTAAATGAAGTTGTGATACCAAGCCACTTATATTGGTGTCTACACAACAATTTGATTGATAAAACTTGGTTAGTACTCAAAACTACACAAAATGATACCAGTTATTATAAAAAGACTAATTATTGTAGTTTTAAATGCTCAGTCAAATTCAAAACTTATTTAGAATGAACAGTCGAATAAATAAGATCAAATCAAATCAAGTACACTTACATTTTCACAAATTTCTTTCAACTTAACCTAAAATTATTTTAAATGTAAGAATTTTTTATTTGAATTACATATTTGTAACATTTTGTATTTTGATATATACCCTTGACCGATATTAAACTCTCATAAATGTAAAGTAAAACTATAGTTATTTTATGTGAGTTTAAGAGATGCTCATGTGAATTACTACCCATTAAACGATATTCATTTAGGAATAGTTTTTGAACAGAATGATGTTGAATATTATATTCAAAAGTGTTTTTTTTTGGAAATGTAAAAATTGAGCTTTCAACTTAACATAATTTTGTTGAATATGTTGGAGAGATCCAGAAAATTCCTCGAAAAACGCTGAAAAATCACATATCCAATTAGCATTCAATAGAAAACTTGCCAAAAGCATCTAGAAGGTGAAAAGTCATTGGTTGGATGACTTCTCATACAGTTACTATGTTTCGTAGTGTTCCAGAATTTTCCGGAAGCCCAAATCCATCTAAAATGCTATAAAATCCTTAGATTTTCTGTACATAGACAAACTTTGGGAGTCAAGTGTTTCTTCCATATTTCGCGCCTTTTCTCTCATGTTCAAGTCACTGTGTAAATTTAGTCTGGGGGTTACTAGAACAGCTTCGGAACAGAATCTAGTGTTCAATTAGAAGATTAATATCATGGCTTGTAAAATAGCCAAATACAATTTTCTTAATAATTAGTCTAATCATTATCTTTATAGTTATTTGAGAGTAAAACCTATCAGCACAGAGAGACTGATCAATTGCAGTCCTAAACATCAATGGGAAGATTCAAGGAAAACAATATCAAGTGAATTAAACTTCACCCCATTGCACAAGCAAGTGGCTATCAGGACTCAGTAGCTAAGTGGGTAACGCGATGGCGTTTGAAGCGGATGGTACTGGGTTCGAGTCCCAGAGTGAACATCAACTCTGAGATGCAGGTACATCCAGCTGACGAGTCCCAAATAGGACGAAACGCGCGTCCTGAATTCGACTGCTAGCAACCATCCATCTTTGCCTATCAGCACATATTTCACTATTATACTGTATATCCTTCAATCAGGAAGACGGAGTAAAGAGGAAAGTGAAGCAAAATGACGCGAAGTGGAGAAGGCATGTGAGCCAACTCCATTTAACCAAGCGTTAATCGATATTTATAGTCACACAAAAATAAAATACAGACATGTGACGAATAGGATAGGAAGTGCACGCTCGTACGCTCATATAAAAACAGTCATGGTTGATAAGTGAATAATTAACAAGTTCAAAATGTGACTAAAGAAAAATGGATAAATTGGCCTGTCCAGAAGCTATAATAAGTTATATGGGATTAACATAGTAACCGACATTACAAACTCATTATTCAAAATTTATTAATCTTAAAAGTGTCGAATGTCTACTTCAAAATAATCATGAATTTTAGAACCATCAAATCATGTGATAAACATTTCAAAAGATTCTATTCAATAAGCTATAAAAAAGATGTGGTTAGAAAGTTGTTTATCTATGTTATAGAGATTATATTCATAGGATAAAACTGAGGAAAAATTAACTTCAATTAAATATTGCTTGAGTCGTAATGATTGTCTTCAAAAATTCATAAATAAATATAGAAATACGGTTATTTACGTGTATAGTTATAATCTAATAGTTCATATCTTTATTCTTCAAGTTATTAACAATACTGTAAATGAAATATTTATGGCAATTGTAAAAACTTAATATTTTTTTTAACTGTTTGATTGTCGATTAAGTGACTTTTTTAAAGATTTTATTAAATTACTTGAAATTGCTATTTCTGATCACTGAACTAAAACATTTCAGGTAAAATTCAAGATGTTTTTTTATTATTAGTCACAACTGGCTGAATAGATAGT